CTTCATATTTGCTTGGTGCTGTCTTGCCTGCTCGCACATGTGGCGTACCTGAAGACTCGTTGGTCCCGCGCCTTTATGGGCGCATTCTGACGATGTCAGTGCCATTGAGTCCACGGTCGTTGCTTGTTGCTTTCTCGTTTGTCCGTCCCCCTTCATATTTGCTTGGTGCTGTCTTGCCTGCTCGCACATGTGGCGTACCTGAAGACTCGTTGGTCCCGCGCCTTTATGGGCGCATTCTGACGATGTCAGTGCCATTGAGTCCACGGTCGTTGCTTGTTGCTTGTCTTCTCGTTTGTCCGTCCCCCTTCATATTTGCTTGGTGCTGTCTTGCCTGCTCGCACATGTGGCGTACCTGAAGACTCGTTGGTCCCGCGCCTTTATGGGCGCATTCTGACGATGTCAGTGCCATTGAGTCCACGGTCGTTGCTTGTTGCTTTCTCGTTTGTCCGTCCCCCTTCATATTTGCTTGGTGCTGTCTTGCCTGCTCGCACATGTGGCGTACCTGAAGACTCGTTGGTCCCGCGCCTTTATGGGCGCATTCTGACGATGTCAGTGCCATTGAGTCCACGGTCGTTGCTTGTTGCTTTCTCGTTTGTCCGTCCCCCTTCATATTTGCTTGGTGCTGTCTTGCCTGCTCGCACATGTGGCGTACCTGAAGACTCGTTGGTCCCGCGCCTTTATGGGCGCATTCTGACGATGTCAGTGCCTTTGAGTCCACGGTCGTTGCATATTGCTGGCTCGCTTGTACGACCTCCTTCATATCTGTTTTTTCTTCGCATGTCCGACCTGCATGCCTGCTTATCCACGCCTGTGCGCACTTGTGACGTACCTGACGACTCGTTGGTCCCGCGCCTTCATGGGCGCATTCTGACGATGTCAGTGCCATTGAGTCCACGGTCGTTGCTTGTTGCTTTCTCGTTTGTCCGACCTCCTTCCACATGCGCTTGTCCTGGCTTGTTGCTGTCTCGCCTGTGCGCACATGTGACGTACCTGAAGACTCGTTGGTCCCGCGCCTTTATGGGTGCATTCTGACGATGTCAGTGCCTTTGAGTCCACGGTCGTTGCTCGTTGCTATCTCGCGTGTTCGTCCTCCTTCATGTTTGCTTGTTACTGTCTTGCCTGCTCGCTCATGTGACGTACCTGAAGACTTGATGGTCCCGCGCTTTCATGAGCGTATTCTGACGATGTCAGTGCCTTCGAGTCCACGGTTGTTCATCTTGTGGCTCGCATGTACGTCCTCCATATCTGCTTGTCCTCGCCTGTCCGTCCTGCACGCCCGCTCAACACCTGTCACTGTCTCGCGTATCCGATCACCTGCATATCTGCTTGTCTTCACTGCTTCGCACTTGTGGCAGACCTGATGACTTGTTGGTCTCGCGATTTCAGTATCGAATTCTGACGCTGTCAGTGCCCTGAGTCCACTGTCGTTGCTCGTTGCTGTACCGCTTGTCCGCCCTCCTTCATATCTGCTTGTACAGGTCGTATCTGTCGTTGGAGATAGAATTATTTCTTACATGTACCCATCTGCCAGAGGATGTGTTGGTTAATGAATCCATGCAATCAATGGAACATTAAAATAATGCCATGTCGAAATTAAGTGATTGTGCTATTTTCGCCCATTGTCCAGTCAACGCTCAGGGGGCAGTGCGGTTCAGTTCAGTATTGATGCATCAAGGGTACATAATGCTTTCATCAGCCAGCTGAGTGCGCACCGCATCTGCGCACAACAAGAGCTTGAATCTAAAAACAACTAACCCATGTCTGAGGTGGATCTATGCCACTAAGTCTCAGAATTATGAACGCATCTGTAATCAGTACCCACTGACTGAACACAATGACTGAGGAACAATGATGTGACATTTTGTGTTGTGGTGTGATGAAATGAAATGGTGATGTTCTACGTCAAACTCCCTCATGTGGATACACTCTTGTCAACCATTTGACATCACATTGCAAGGTCCTACGCCTTGTGCTTGCTTGCTGCCTCTGTCAGAACTGATGCGAGAATTCGCAGTCCAGGTGCGTAAGGATCCTCATCGCGAGGCTGAGAGGAGCGGAGCAGATACTTTACTACTGCAGTCACACCCTTGCCACCGTCGGAAGTCTTCATTGTGATATATATATATGATTCAGCTCGAGGCAAAAATAATAAGTAAATGTAGTCACCAAAAGATGTTGCAACACGTGTCGTACGAATGCCTCATCAATCATGGCTCGATGGGAAAGTTCTGACAGGACGCAATGTGCCTGACGGCAACGGCGTCAGTGTGATGTTAAGACATACAAACTTGCTACTCACCAACGGAGACAGCGCAAACTCAAAGGCAGGACGTTCCAGTGCCTGTCGGCACTCATCTGCAATGTCGTTGAACCATAATTCAATGGACATCAACAAACCCGCTGATTGTATGAGCTTAGAGGGGATGCTCTTGTTGCGCATGCGCCATGCTATGCGTCTAACCACAGCTAACCATGCATCGTGGTGCGAATTAATAGATGACTGGACCATGTCATAACCTTCCGGGTCCATGAGAAAGATGTCCATCTACATGTCGACGTTCAGCCAGACTCCTACTGACACTGGATGATCGACTTACGAAAGGCGTTGCATCTTTCACCGGCGTGTCAGACTCAGCGACGAGGTCTTGGATGGTGTATCTAGGTGTTGTAGACTTCGTAGTCGCAGGTTGTGATTTAGCCTTTCGCGCGTGCTGAGCGTTAGCAAACACCACAGGCCTCGTCCGCTTCAAGGTGACCTGTTCCTTGATTCTCGTTAGCTGCCTCGTTGATGGTTGTCTACTGGAATTTCGCGTGCGCAGTCTCGATTGGAGTGGGGGCGAGGGGGATCTGACCACCTCCTCCTGCGCCATGTCCGTGTATGCGCTCTCGTTGCATTCGTTGGGGTGATCGACATTGGATACATCCTTGGTCTGCTGAGTAGCGGCATTGGGGACATCAGGATCACCATCAGCTGAGAGACTGCCGACGTCAGCCCTACATTCACCTTTGGTTCCTGGTGAGTTATCGAGTTTCGCGTCATCCTGAATGAATCACGATGATGTTAGAACTCGGATGATGGCACGACATTGAATGGACTTCCTACCATGCGTTCATGGATATCGTCACTTCCAGCATTCAAACCAACCGCAGAGTCGGTTTGCATGTCGATTTGCATGAACTGTGCGGAAGGTTGACCATCATCAATATTCACTGCTACTGGGCAATCGGGCCTTGTGACATAGATGCTAGTGGAGAGGAATGATTCGCCTTGGTATCCATCCTCATTAGACCATACTACCACTTCGGAATCAGACCGCAGGTCCATTGGAAAGCCTTCCAAGGACGGGTTACAAACATCATTGTCGAAGCCTAAGATGCCAACCGCCTCAGTAATATGCCTATGTTCTCATGAGTGGATCAATTGACTCGCCTGGTATGAAAGAGTCTACAATAGACGTCCGCATTCCGTCATTGTCAGGCAGCGGGACTATGTTGGAATCAGATCGTGGATCTATTGGATCTGGGACCATGTTCCCTAATGGTTGACCATCGATGATAATGATATCTCGTTGAGGTCTCGCGTCAGGCACATGACTACCGTAGTAGCTGAGTGACTCACCTTCGGTTTCATATCCTACTGTGTTTGTGCAGTGACAGTCCTGGTCAGCTTCTAGGACTCTGTCAGAAGTAGATTGATCATCATCGGATTCTTGTTGCATGGCGGGGTGACTATCATCGGTATCTAGTGCTGCATGGAGTCCCAGCTCGGACACATGACCATCGGAATTGATGACGCGACATGCATCACGGATTTCAAGGTCTGTTTGAACCTCGCGTTCTTCAAACGAGCGGGTGGGTTCGTGATTTAGTACGGGATCAGATTGAATGTCTGTGACATCCATAACTGATGGTTCTCCGAGCCTGGACAACTTGAATGACACCGTTTGATGGGGTTCCTGCTGGCCAGAAGATATGGAAATATCATGACCATATTCGACCGTGCAATCGGCGTCATGGCGAGTGGTGTAGAGTGCCTGACCAACCGCAATGAAAAATCGTCCCATGCTACCACGGTTGACCAATAGCTCTTGACACCTTGCCATCAATTCCGCCATTCCAAATAACTCGAAGAACTCTTCATTATTTCGTGATGTGAACAGCATGCCATGCTCCCAGAGACCCTTCATAGGGTCGTAATGATGCAATCCTTGCATCTCTCGAAACCGCATCGCAATGTGACTGGGCAGCCATCGCCCAAATCCACCAATGATCAACTTGCGTGCTCCCCCAGAAAGTGTACTTAAAGCCAGCATTCGGTCGTTATCGTTGAAGGGCAATGGATATTTTGGAAAGGAGTCCTTCGTCTGAAGACACAGGATCTGCATAAGCTAGTACACTGTATTAGATACACGAGGCACGCACCGAATCAACGCAGTGTGATTGAGTCGCCACTGGGGCAGCAGTATCGCCTGGATGCGTCGTGCAGGTGGTATCCGTACCAGCTCCATGTTCTACTGGAGCATTGGAAGCATTGAGAGAGGAATCGACTGCGGCAAGCAACTGCTGGACGTCTTCGCCGGTACCACAACCCTGCAGCGCACCACAGCAGTCATGCTCCTCACAGTGTTTGTTATGATATGCACGCCAATCGACTGATTAGCGGATCAGTACGAGTTATATTGATAATACAAGGACACGCACGAAACATAAGTATATCAGAGCATGTTGAATCCCGTATACACTCAAATGTAACTCCATGAGTCTCTTGTAGGACTTTACGATACTGGGAATCAAAGCCACTGCATGTATGATCCAACCAGAGATAGTAATCGAGCGCCGGGGATCTAAAGCGACCATGTAATGCATCTAGGGACCCTGCAGCGTCTTCCAGGAATGCAATGCGAACTTCATTCATGTAGTCCATGATTGAGGCATAAACATCACGCATCTGGGCAGCGTTAAAATGGGATGAAGCACTGAGGTGTTCCACAATCTTCCTATACAGGCCAAATTTCTTGTTCAGCGCATGAAGAGGAATGCGATAGTGTGCAGCAACGTCACAGGACTTGCGAGGTCGGCTGGACACCTTGAACGAACACAATCCATCCACATCTTGAATTGTTCCTTTGACTTTCAGTAGTCGACCGATCTCCTCTGGACTCCATTGACGAATGTGACACAACGGATTCATGGAAAGGAATGTGCCCGCTTGCAGGTCCACCAGTTCCGCCTCAGTACTTGTAATATCTCGGGTGCCTCAAGCTTGTAACTCGGCTCCACACAGCCATATGCATGTGATGTCAAATTTTCAAAACCATGATCCGGTGCTGTGCTAATCAAATCCAATTGTTTATGAAATTAGCGGTATGGGCTGTTCGTCCATCGTGTACTGGTGTATGGGAGATTAAGACCCACTTTCATATGCAATATAAATACAGGTACTGTCTGACTGTATCATTGGGCTGCTGATAATAAGATCCAATTATACTCCCCAGCTGGCCTGTATGCAACACTGCTGTGCATGCAACAGCGGTGTTAGTGTTGGTCACACATGGCCGCCCTCATTTTACAGGTCGTTCGGCTGGCAACACGATTTTTTCATGACTCACAAGCCTGGAATCAAAGAGCCCGCGCCTAGGCCAAATACACCAATGACATATTGTGAAATAACCCCAATTGCCCCATGGACCTATGTCAAACCTTGTGACCCTGACATTACTAAATGGACGAACACCCAGGCATACGCTCAGCATTGATGTGGGCCGCTAAACCGACAGTAGATAGCATTGTATCTAACATTTTGTAAGCCAAGGAATACCATCTACGTGGAGTAGAGTAAGAGACATGACAGAATTGAACTACTACTATATTACCATCCCTTTGCATGTGGGGCAGGAGTATCGTCGAATAATCTCGTTAGGAGATGTCTGCACTGTGGGCCGAAGGTCGTCCATCCATCCATCGGGAAGTGTACCCACCTTTACAGCCTGTTCCATGAGTGCTCTGACCTGGATGACAAGTATACCATTTCCAACTACCCCACAGTGTCCCCCCCTTCGAATCGGTGTTGTCATAAGGGCGAGAAACTCTTCATCAAATCTGACGGCGTTGTAGGGAGATGGCAGGCGTGCCTTTGTGTTCCTACTCATCCTGTGGCCAAGTGCTGACATACATGCCTCGTTGAACCACCGGCAACAAGACCTGCAGTATCGTTGCAGGTGATTGGGGGAAGAAAATGGGATATCACAGGAGTTGCAACCGCAATTCGTGGAGACCTGCGAATTCTGTGACACAGATTATGACCTTGATCAACTCGACCAGACAGAAATGGTACTAACTTCGATATTTACTTGCTGCAGTTCTAGATTCCTGCGCGTTGTGAATTGCATGGATATATTCCACCGGTGGTATAGGGTCGCAGTCGGTATTTGAGGTTGGGATAGATCGCCCTCATCATACCGAACAATATCTGCGTGAGCTTCAGTGCATAGAAACATATTAATATTACTGGGATGGTCTGGACAGGCAGAGATAATTGACAACACACCTTCGACGCAATGCATATCCACGACAGACTTGTGATCGCTCAACACAAGTTCATAGTCACCTACGCAAGCTGCAAGGCTGGATAAAGAAGACACTGTCAATGGTTCTGTGAAGCTCCATGACGGAAAAACATACTCCACATCTTGATCCTCCAAGTCAACCCGCCTGTAGTACCACTGTATGTCAAGCCACACGTCCTGTCGTATACCACATGAGTAATCATATCGGATTTGGAGAGGAATAGTGGTCTCGGTCACCTGTGTCTTATTCCTTTTGGCTGCCGTCCAATAGATCTCCATAACCTTACCATACCAATATGACATCGTAGGGAGGCTTCCGTCATTCGACGGTACTGCACGTTCATCAAGTGGAAATATGGAGACACTGAATGATGCAGGTCAGTTTTGCACAATAAATATGTAGACGTTCGCATACTCATCCCCAACTCGAATCACCAAACGGCCTTCGTCGATCGAGCCATCAGATGGTGCATCAGTGTCATAGACCCCTGTGAATGATGAGTTACTTGGTGGTAAACGAATATTAATGTCAGGTGCCACAGTGGAACATACATTCCAATGATGTACATCGCCTGAGTGTGCCCAGCTTCGGATGATTACCACTCATAGGAGGCAATGTTCTTCTCTTCTCTGAATGGGATACATGGCTGATCACCAAAGGTCTGACGGAAATGCAGGCGAGGGACATCAGGACGATGTGAGTGAGGTCTAGTGTGCCTACAAAATGGGTCTCTTGGTGTCGAAGGAGATTTTGATCCGTACTTTATACATCACTCGATCAAATCAGAATATCATCCATAACAGGAAAACCACCAGCATAATATTATGTCATGCCGAGTATTGCCACCCTACTCAAATCACGTTGTGGTCCAATGCTCCATTAACCGAATAGCCTAATACAACGGAACTTGAGCTCGGAGCCTATCAAGCCAAGGACCCTAAATTAATGGGAATATAATACATGGACCCTGGGAGGGTGGGGCGAGCTCAGCCTCAAGCACAGCGCATACCTACATTCTGATGGACGAACACTATATCAGTGATATTCAACTGGAAATCATGAAGTCCAAGATTCTGGATTGGGACCCACAACACTCGAGGATTACAGGAACCATTGGATACATACCCGAAATTACTTTGGAGGATGGATGGAATACTGATGACGATCTTGGAGGACTGTCAGCAGCCATAGATAATTGTAAAATCGTAGAGTCGAGCGGGAATCATGTCGAGGCAACTAAAGGACGACGAGGGAGGCCAAAAAAGCGAGTGGTGCAGCGCCGTGGGTACATCTATTTGACCCCTATTTACATAGACATGACACTAGATTTCAGGTGGCAAGCAGATGCCAGGCGTTGCGAGCGCTCAGGAGGACACATCAACTATCGATACTGTTCAGAATGTGTCTGGAAAGCGTGTCATTCGTGCTACCACAAGTCCAGTGCCTGACCATATCCCAGCACAAGTGGATGTGGTGTACTGTGTTCCCATTGATGAAATGATAAGTAATACACATGATTTAATTCAAGAGGATGAGGAGCATGGGGAGGAGGGGAGCATCAATATGCTACAGGAAATTCTGAACTCTGGCATCCTGGATTGGAATCCGCAGGAAGCATGGACCGCAAAGAATAACCCAGCTCATCGGCAACATACCGATCCACATTGCGAGGAACAATCGACAGCGATGGAAAGCTCCAGAATAGCTGAGAAGGAGAATGATACACAAGAGAGCAAACCACGCAGGGCACGCGGACGACCATCCAAGAAAGGGATTTCAATGTCGTCAGTCCCAGCACCACAACTCTATTTTCATTGAAATGATACTTGACCACAGGCAGCACGCACAAGACATTAACTTTCAATCATGATAGAAGTGTCAGACATATCATCCGGGGCGACAAGTAATCCATGCCAGCAGGAAACTAATTGATGGGGGTCACGGTGGTATCAGCACTGTA